CGGGGAATCATGTCCTCACGGTAAGGAAACGTCTTAGCATCGCGGTGAAGATACAGTTTCGACGCATGAAACACAGGATACGTACGCAGATGAGGTGGCACARCGACKACATATGAAGGTCCAAACTCATCACTTCCAATCACATCCAAGACTTCCCACGGGCCATAGTACAAAGGGAGAAGTTTGCGTGATACTCCCTCTTCTTCAGAGAATTCAGACATTTTGACCCAAACATAACTGCCTACCGTGATATCCGTTGGTCTGCGTTTCTTGTTGGCGTGGTGAATCATGGCATGCTGCCGCTTGGTCATAGCTGCGACAGCAACTTTGAGCAAGCGGTCATACTTAGCCTGGAACCCAGGCCTGCCGGGAGTGTAGCCAGCAGGCTGTTCCGGGAATAAGTAGGAGAGTGGGTTCCGCATCTGCCACCCGTAATGCAGCCTGTTAGGCGTCAGACCGGTGGCGGAATGTACGGAGTTGTTGTACAACCCCTTGACAGCATCCAGCTCTTCGTCCCACGTCTGCTGATCCGGAATGATCAAGGCACGCAGCAGCTGAAATAAAGTCTGGTTGATTTCCTCAGCCAACCCGTTGGCTTCGGGATGTCGACCAGATGTCATGCAAAGTCTGATTCCCAATTTAGACGTGAAGTCTTTCCATTCAGCACTGATGAAGCGCGGATCCCGGTCACTCACAAGAGTTTTCGGGGGTCCGAACTGCAGCACGTACTTCCGGTTAAACTCACGTATCACCAGATCTGTGGGGGCATGGGGTGGTAGGGGAATGATGTTAAGAAATTTAGAAAATCTGTCAACGATTACCATTACTTGCGAGTGCCCGTGCTTACTCACCTTTCCCATGTCAGTGAAGTCGACGGAGATAGACTCTCCGGGGCCATCCGGAATGGGAAGCGGAGTGAGCAGCCCCATGGGCTTTTGCCGACACGGCTTAGTGTGTTGACAAACTTGGCATTCGGCAATGAACTTCTCAACATTCCCTTTCATACCAGGCCAATCAAATTGTCGCAACAAGTTAGCATACGTCTTTGCAATCCCAAAATGTCCGCTGTGCCCGTGAGCCACATCCAAGAAGTGTGTACGGAGAGGCTCATGATTAGGCACACACAAGCGGTCGTGCTTATCATAGCGGCGAAAAATCAGACCCTCGTGCTCATGAAAATCAGGTAGACTGCTG